CAGCCCCCATCTCCCTATCCCTTTTCCCTTTTCCTTCCCATTTTCTGGGGCAGGGGGGGGAAGGAAGGGGCAGGGGCCTACTGCCCCCCTGTCATGGGCATAGATTGATCTAGTATACATTAAATCACATAATTTATAACATTCTCAATGACTACTGTATTCATAATACTTTGTCCTTGTTCACATACATTGACCTTCTTCGGTATGGAATGGGAAGAGAGAAAATAATAGAAAATTGTTTGGGTGGAGTATTTTAGTTGTTAGTTTTTTGGGATTAAACTGTCAATGATCATTGTGTTTCAGCACTGCCATGCTAGATGCCTTCAATTTATTTTTTTTTTCTTTTAAAACAAGCAATCCTTCCAGTCCTTAAGCAACACCCAGATACAATCAATAGAAACATGATCATACATATAAATAACCCCTTTCATTTACATGCTTTCATACAGAGCTTTATGGAAAATTTCTCAGAAATTAGCAATTGATTTTTGAAGAGCTGTTGAATCAATAGTAAATTTTATTTTATTTTTAAATGATAATTATCATCTAACACTGCAAATTTTTTGGTGCAATCTTATATGAGATGCAATAAGGAAGTAAATTTTGGCCCTCCTCGTCTTTGGGACCCTGTAATCAATGTTCTCCATTCTTTTAAAGCTGAAGTCTGAACAGATACAAGTGAAATTTGATTTCTGTATACTCACTTTCAAAGGTAACTTTTTCTGTAGAGTGTTTAAATTTGAATATTCTATGTAAAACTGTTAAAAACTAAATTCAAAATCTGTAAATGTATATATGATGAGAAATACCATCCTTCCAGGTTTATTTTCTATAAAATTTCTTAATAACTGGCATTTAAACTGTGAATTTGAATCAGTTTCAAGATAGATAACTGTTTTAGAAATCTGTTATTCTCTTCTTTGCTGATTTGCCAACTCTGATAACAAGTTCTTTGCTGTATCTTATTCTGTTATATTTGTCAGCTAGCAGGGTGATTGCTACTAAAGTGTCTATCTTTTAAAATGATGAGTAATTAAAAATCACATTATTTAGAGATATGTTCAGATGCAATATATTCTAGAGGAGAAAACTTTTTTTTTCCTCTCAGACTCAGATTGCTCACGACCCTGTTTAGATAATATGAAAACAGACACTAAAGGTCACTAGTCTGCAAAAGGTCAATCTGTTCAGAGATTTAGTAAAAGTACATTTAATTACTTTGTAGTTAAAGTGGTGCGGTGTTTTATTCATAATGAAGGTTAAATCTCTGTTATCTACTGAAGTGCATAAGAGGTACCCTGGTCTTCATCTGACTAGTTGAGGTATTTCTAATAGTTTAGTCATGAAAGCAAAGACAGAAATGACAGAAAATATTTACTTCTACCGCACACTTCACCACCAAATGTTGAAGTTATATCCATCTTTTAAACAGAAGAGCAGACAAGTTTCATTAGCATGTTAGATTAAATGTGTGCTATCCTGAATTAAGCTCTTAAAACAGTGGACCAGAAGACTACGTTAACTGTATGTGCCAAATGCTAATTAAAGGATTTGTTAGAGGAAAATATATCTCACAGGATTCAGTAGTCCACAGGAGCCAAGCTGCAGCTTAATGTCTGCAGGTTCAACAAGTAGCAAAGCTGAGGATGTGTTCCCAGCAGGCATGTGCACAGAGCGCTGTATGCCACGTATAGACACAGCTAGACACACAGAGCAACTCTAAAACACATGGGACTAATGGACTTATCCTACTCCACTCTCTTGCTGGACAACATAGGAGATCAGTAGTGAGTAGGAGTGTGTACATGTGTAAATAATGCATCCATATATATTACACGTATATACACACATTCACTATAAAGATTCACTGTATTCAATCTGGAGAAGAGAAGGCTCCATGGACACTTTATAACAATCTTTCAGTTTCAAAAGGGGGCCTATAATAAAGAAGGGGGTATACTTTTTTGCAAAGTCTTGTAGTAGAACAAGGAAAAATGGTTTCAAAATAAAAGACAGGAGCTTTAGGCTGGGTATATGAAAAAAAATTGTTACAGTAAGGCATTAGAATAGGTTGCACAGAGAGGTGGTAGTTGACCTGATATTCAAGGTCAGGCTCTGAGCAACTTGATCTAACTGTAGGCTGTTGCTGGGAAGCTGGACTAGATGGCTTTTAGAGGTGCCTTCCAACTCAAACAATTCTATGACGCTCTGATTCTGTATACAATATACTGTAAATATAAATATATATACTATATATATATCCAACTTTATATATATATGTATTTAAATTTGGATTATATACATTTATATATTCTGGGATTATATGTATATATGCATATTTCTGCTTCTTCCTCCTTCCCTCAACCCCTTTTTCCACCTTTGTTCCTTCCCGTAAATATTCCATACAATCCCCAATTGCTTTTCTCCTGCATCCCATATTGTGTCCTAAATCCCATGACAGCAATCCTTCCTAGACTGAAAGGTGGTCAGGATATCAGCTGCTGATGACTCATGGCCATTGGCTTCATTCCCAGACAACAGGGCAGATGGCTCTGCTGGAACAGCCCTGGGAGGGGCCCTGACAAAGTGGTTGTTCCTCAGGAGTCCTTGATTTGGATTCCCATCTGCCACTGCATATCCCTGTGCTTCACTGAGCCTAGACAGTGGCCCCTGTTATGAATCTGGGAATATTCTGGGAGAGTATTTGTTTTCTTCCTCCTTCCAGTTTGTCTGAGGTCCTTTGTAGGTATGCAGATTAGCTTTATCTGAAAAAATAACAGGGTGAATGAGCCACATGCTGACTTACAGGTTATTGCTTGATGAAGCAGTGCATTGCACTGTAAAGCTGAATTTTACAAGATGTTTCATGCTTCACTTTACAATAAAGGATTCTGCATTTGTCCAGAAGTAAATATGGGATACAGTACAATGCAAGATGGTAAACTTTCATGTGTATGATTCAGTAGTGTGGGGTGGATTTTTAGCAACCTGAGTGTTGCTGGTTTAAGGCCTATTTGCCTTAAAAAAAGAAACCTTCAAATATTGTGAGACGTTACCAGTTTCAAGCTCAACCAACAAACAAAAAAGTAACAGCAACATTTTTCAATTAACACACGCTCATGTTTTAAATAAAGGTCAAACAATTCTCTTATGAAGTATTTGTTTATATTCTTCCAGAGCAATAACTTAATAGTGGTTGCAAGCATAATGTTTAATGGCTATTGTTCAGAAATAAAGTGTTAGTTGAAGACCTTATAGAGGTTTAGGTGGAAAGTTGTTTTGCTTTCTCTTAGATAGATCAGAAGAGTTTTCTTGTTTAAAAATCAAAGCACATTACATATAGTTTAGCAATTAATTATGCATTTTACCTTTAAGGCGTGACAGAATAGTATTAGATTTAGCAGACTGAATTCAGTGATGCATTGAAATATGAAATATCGCAGAGTGTTCAGCATGCTATAGAAATATTGTCTTCATAAAAAATAATAGGCCTTTTTTTTTTTTACAATTTTGCAACAAATTTTTAAATAAAGAAATAGCTAAATTCATGAATGAATTAGGAAGAGTTGAATGTAAATCCAACTTCCAAGAGCTGTTGGAGATTTATCAGGATTAAATCTGCAGATGCTGAAATGAAACATGACTTCTCTGCTAGCATCTAATGTAAATATTTTAAATCAAATGAAAGGGAAAGGATTTTATTTTTTTGAAATAAACCTCGGGAATGTTTTTTTTCTTTTTCTATAAACTAGGAATTTATACAATTGTCATACTTGGAATTGTCAGTGTTTCAGAGGGCTACTTGGCAGCAAAAATCAAAGAAAAAAATAGGCAAGCTTCAAGGAATAAAGTTAAGACTCAATATACTTTTGGTCGACTGTTAAAATTACAGTTCCCACAAATTTGGGTGGGGTATTGCGAAGGTAAAAAGTGGCTGCCTTCCATATGAAGTTCCTTATTATTTATTTCTATGAAGCTCCTTACTCCTTTTTGACTTTTTTTTTTTTTTTTTTAATATATAAAAGAAACCTAGAAATTGCAGCATATAAGTTTTAATATATGAAAGTCATATAAAATACACTGTAAAATTAAATTTACATTTTGATTTTTCTTCTTTGTTAACTTTATTCATCTTGTTACTTTGTAGGCAACTTTACTTATATCTCATAAATCATAAAGTAAGGTAAAGTGAAGAAAAGAAAAAATTTCAGCGTCCTATCCAGTCCTCAAAATAAGTCCACTGCAGATGCAGTGATCTAGGACAGGACACCTTTTAACACAGCACATCACATGAAAAATATCAGTGTAGTCTTTCAGGCAGCATTCAGATTCTCCCTACCTGTCTACATTGCATACTCAGCACATATAACAGCATTACCTGTATATGTTGGATTACACTTATAACCAACCACAGTTTCTTTGTATGCTCCTACTAATCACTGACTGTAGCACTCATCCTGTGTCCTAACAATAAATACCATGTTGTGAGAAATACATCCAGTGATTTACCTTGTGCTAAAATTGAGTCTTATTGTCAACAGCAGATCTGCTCACATGCCAAAAGTTAAGAATGTTCATAAGAGTTTGCAGGTTCTGGAGCTTTATTCTACTTTCATGCAAGTTACATAAAAATCAAAGAAAGCTATTTTTAATAATCGCAAAGAAATTGGCAGCACAGAATTAAGTGCTTGGTTGACTCTCCTAGACAGCAAAAATCAATCAGTAACTAATGCCAAATTTGACTTTGCTTTTGAGATTGATTGACAAACATAGGAACTGAGTTAATATTTTTACTTTTCAGTTCTTAATATTCAAGTTAAACTACCGATATTCTTTTGGCGTATGGGCACATGCAGTATAAAAGAAGATACTGCTAATGAACTTGTTACAACATTCTTATTAAGGCTTCTAAAAATAACTTTTTTAGATTTAAGGATTTTCAGTGTCACTGGAAGACATTGCAGTATTCATTTGTAAAGGCAATTCTATTTTACTTTCAGATTCAAGGCCTCTGCCAGATGTAGCCCTGACAGGGAAGTGTACCCGAGAATGTGATGAATATGGCCACTCGGACTCCTGCTGGATGCCAGTTCGCACTTCTCCTGAAAGAAAGCAGAAGAGCCAGCCAAAACTCTCCACTTTCATGCCTGTTGATGAACGGGGCAGTCAGGAAAAGCTGGCCAATGGAGAAGCTTCCCTCATGGGTGATCGCAACAGAAACCTCCTTAACAAAAAGTTGACCTCATCCTATGAGACCTTCAGCGCCGCTAGTTTCAGCAAGAAAGAAGAAGGCAATCCAGAAGATATCCCCCTTACACAGACAGGGGAATATAAGCCATCTCCTGTCAATACTCTAACTAGAAGAGAAGTTTACCTGTAAGCTAAAAAGCAGCAACAAATTTCTTTCATGTTGTGAGCAAGAAAAGGGGCAAAAGTCTTAAAAGCAAAACAATTTTAATAAAAATATGAAACAAAAAGAGGAGGCCACCAAAGAGACATAAGCTCTGCTTGCCACTTCTGCCTCCATAGCAGGCATTTAACTATATGGTCTGCCTGACTATACTGTACAATGTAGAAAATGTTGTTACTTGCATGTCAAATCCCCCCTCACCAATTTTTATTTTCCTAAATCTATGGTTGCAAACTCCTCCCATAGTAATGAGCTTGATTAAAAAGGACACAACATGTTGTTTCTCCTCTGCAGAAGCATGAGTTAAGCCACTCATTTTTTCGATGGTCATCTGGCTTGTTGAGGATAACAGGTCAGGGAAAATGTATTCAAAGCATATCATCTAAATATTGCTGATCCCCACCAGGGACAATCCTTCAGAAACCATACAGATATAAAGATAAATATAAAGGAATAATCATTAATAGGCACTTTGTGAAGACCACAGCTTTAATATTCTCACCTCTCATCTGACGCAGGATGCGACAGAGACACGTTCAGCTTGAGACTGCCGTCCAAAACATGGCAAACTTTCTTATGAATCATGAACTCTGGTTCTGTTTTATCCATAGAACAAATGTGTTCTAGCTGTGTCTCTTTCTCTCCTTCTCTCTCGTTCTCTGTAATGATTACTTCAATGTAAACACAATTAGTAACACATATACAGTAGCATAGTAATGATAAACTCTTGAAATCATTTTTTTGGACAAGACTAACATTTAACTGGGAAGATAGTAATAACAAAAAGGCCAAAGATCACACTATGGATCAGGGGAACTGCTAAGTATTGGGGCTTGGCATAGAAAACTAATATACTCATGCACATGTACTCATAACACACCTTCAGTTACATTTGCACAGCAGCACGTTCTACAAGCCCAGATGACAATATTTTTTCCAGTGCGGTTCAGTTGAATGCCTAAAGGAAATGATGTGGGTTTTTCTTTTTTTTGTGATGACATGATATGTTGCAGCAGATGTTTCATATATGATACTGCCAATTCCAGGGAATTTCTGAAGTCAAAATTAAAAAATAGTAGTATTGCTAGAAGGCTGTGTTAGTGAGAATGCTTGGTAGGATGAAGGTGGGCAGTGTGGTGATACAATGACAAGAGAATATTACAACTCAAATATAAAGCCTTCCTTTTGGAGTACAAGGAGTGATTGCTGAGTCTTTTGTCATTGGTGTTGCAGATTGATTTGTATCAAACATGTAAGGTTTTCTTGAAACACTAGTGCATTAAAGCCAAGTGAAGTGCAATGCTAAACAGTGTCAAGACTCAGAACATTTAGGATAGGTATTAAATAAACAGTATGATATGATACTCACCTAGGGGGTCAAGATGAGTCAAAACGAATCCAAACTGTCTACAATATGCAAGAGCTCTGGGCTATAATGATTCTCACAATGAGTACTTCAGGAAAGGAAGAGGAAATGAAACAGGTTTTTGTGCAATAAAAGCTACAAAATGTGCAGAACTTTAGCCAGTTTCTCTCTAGCTCATGCTGCAGTAATAATGACAAACAGCGCAGACATTCAGATGAAAGTGACAACTGAAGGACACAGCTGGAGAAGGGGAGAAGCGTTATAATCCCTGGCTGTTTCACCTGGCATTAAAGCATGGTTAGATGGCTCTCTAGATACTATAGTCATAATGTAGCTTTGAGTAGTTTTTTAAAAATAACCGTAAACAGTCTATAGTAGAGGTTGCTAAATCAATACAACTCATCACATTTATCTTTTGAATTCACTTGTCCATATAGTCGGTGATGCTGTTTCTGGCTGTTCCATTCTCTTCTCTTAAGTTTACTTTCTTCATGTAACATTAGTTTGTGTATAGCAGTAATGATGAATGGGCACATTTTAGAAAGAAAATCAAAGATTAATAATGATTGAACATTCTTATGTTTAATTATTTAAGTAATATGAAGACATGCAAACCAGTACTTTGTTATGAGACTGCATAGAGCAGTTACTGCTTTGTATAATCTGTAAGTATCTGTTTAAAAATGCTTCTAAAATGCTTATGTAATGTATACACATTTTTCTTGCACGTTTCAACAGAATACACAATTGCATAACAAATGCTGAACAGAATTTCTTTTGATAAATTTTTATTTAAAGTTACACATACAAAAGAAATAGGTAGCTTGGTTCAATATATTGTTAAACCCTTTGTCTACAATGCTAATAATACAGGTCATAGAAGACCTTCAGATTAAATGGATCAGCAGTCACTCACTGATTTTCGCACCACATTAAGACAGTCATTAAATACTTTACCTGTGAGCATCTCCTTAGAACTAAAATGGATGTGAAAGAATTTTTTTAAATACTGTAAGTATTCACAACAATTCTAGTAGAACTAGCCACTATTAACATGCTGATTACTCTTCTGACCTGGCATGACACACAAATATACTTTGTGTTTGTATTTCTCTTTTTATTTTAAATATGTTAAATCTGGTACCACTCCATAAATAGAGTGCTTTTGTATAAAAATAAATAAACTATAAAAAATAATTAGGGTGAATGCAAAATATGCAACTGTGCCTTTTATACCTGTTATTATGGTAGAGTGGTATTTGGGTTTGGACACTGAGGGATAAGGGGCTATTCCCAACCTTTTTGAACCTGTATATTTACCTGTTTATTTTCTGAGAAATTATAAATAATATATTTAAAAACAAGTCTTTTGCCAAACTCAGTTAATGGACCAGTCTTAAGCATTATTAACACAATGCTGTGGTTTCAATATGTCTTGAAGGTTGTTTTGTTTGTTCATTTTTTGTTGTTGTTTTTCTAATTAATCTTTGTGGGGGGGTTGGGATTGTCTTCATTTGGTTTTTAATTCTGCAGCTTGGAGAACAACGATCAGTCTATACTATAGTTGTTTGGCAAGGTGTCACCAGTTCATGTTGCCAGGAAAACTGACAATTTTTTTTTCAATTGCTTTTAGCTGCCATCACATTTCAGTTGTACAGTATAGAAATCAACATTTTATTTCTTTCCATGGTAAACTCGAATGAGCTTTGCATGTGTTTTATGTTAGGGCACCTTTATAGATTGATGCATTAATATATAACTTTATATGTATTAGAAAATTCAATAGCTTTGGTCTAAAATCTACTGCTCATTTTGGATCTCAGATCCAGTATGTTTATTCAATATGATTTCTGACTGGCCTGCTGCCTGAGTTTCAGGAAAAAAAAGGTAAACATTATTTTTATGTGGGGGAAGAATTTAAATGGGATTCAGATGATTGACTGAAAGGCTACCCTAGGAAGTTGTCAAGTAGGAAAGCAAGGAGTAGAGTTGAAGACTTGCCATAAGCACATCTATCACCAAAAGCTTGTAAGAACTTAAACAATGAAATATTTTTCCTTTTCTTTCATTGGTGATAAATGTACAGTGTTTCCTTAAGGAATGAAGCAGATGAAATAGCAATAGAAATGAAATTCCATCAGTTAAGTATTATTGACTGAAAAGCAAGAAAGAAGACAATATGTACCAGCTACCTGGGGTATGCTTTCAGACAACTTCTTCCTAAATTTTAAAGCACTTGCATTCAGTGTGGTACGATCTGTTTGTAATATTAATCATTGACTATTGTTCTGCAACTTGGATGTTAATAGTGAAGCAGAGAACAATTTATCATTGTTTATTATGAATCACTATGCACGCAACTATGCTAAACATGGCAAAATGTATTAAACGCTAGTCCACCTCTATTTATGAAATATTTACATAATTTAATTTGGTTTTGTACAGTTTTATGTAAATAAATTGCTTGTCATTTTTGTCTCTGCAAATTAAAATATAACATGATCAACTGGTTGCCCATTTGCCACTGTACTTTCTGTGACAGACTCTTCCATTTTTACTGGATTGAAACACTGGATTGAAATATGCAATCTTGCATATTCAACCTATATTTTGCCTGGCAAGGATGAAGACACTCTTGTAACTGGCCACTTCTTTAGCAGTTGATATATCTGAATTTACAGAGTGAAACTCAGTAGAGACTACTCACACTAAGCACTGCATACAGCCACTTTGAGAAATAAGGTACTTGTAATGACTGCAGTTGCTTCCCATTACTGCTCAGAATAGCTTCTTCTTGAGTCATGGTGAAAGCATTAATATGGAGAATAGTAACGTTTGAGTAAAAACTCAGCTATTTCCATTATGGAATAACAATTTTCCAGTGATCAGAAAGGTTGTTATTTTTTTCCCTTAGAAGTTTAGAACTCTTAATTCCTAAAGTGTCAGTGAAGCATCTATAATGAAAAGAGCAAAATAATTAACACTGTTTAAAAGCAAAATGGGAAATGAAAAACTACAGATCTTTTTAGATGTGAGTCAAATCATCCATCTCAGCATAACAACAGACTGAGAACAAACTATCCTCAAGAAGGAACATCTGAGAAGCGGAGTTTATCTCTTCGCTTTCTGCTTGTGAAGAGCAGACACTGCTTTCTTTGTTTAACATAAAGCAGGTTCCAAAAAAGCCATTTAGTTGGAATTTGCATCAGTTGTGATATGTGCAAAATATCCTGGGAGGGGAGGAAAGAAAAATTAAAACTTTAGTTCCCCTTATTGGTGCAACTGTTTTGTACTAAATACGGTACTGTTATAGAGACTTTGCAAATTATTGTATAGAATTCCCCACTGACAAACACAAAATGCTGTTTATAGCTATTTACATTAGTTGCAGATTGGGCTTTGATTTGTTGCAAATAAACATGGTCTGGCAGGACATCTTTTTTACTTCTATTTTTTTCCTTTTAAATAAGCTTGACATTGCAAATTTTTTTCTCTGACTATGCTTTCAGTTAACATTGTCTGGTCTTCTGTAATGAGTGTGTCAAGAAAGATTCCTCTTCCCATAAGCAGAAATCTAAATCTGCATGCTCATGGAGAGAACTTAACCCACCAACTGACCCCAAATCTTCCACGTCAGACTTGAATGAGACACCCCTCAACCTCTTTCAGTAGTAGCAGTATTTTAATGAGTAACTTCAATCAAGCTTTCATGTTTATTTTATACTAGATATAGTATGCAAGGCATGACCTTATGTTTGTTTATTTTGTCTTTTATCTTCATTCTTCTAGTTTACCAACTGCATTTAGGAACGTGATTACAAGGAAGATAAAATAAATTTCCTGAACTGCAGAATGGTAAGAGAGGATGATATAAACTGGTGAAAGCTAACAATTTATGCTCCCCTTTAACCCTGGCTCCATTTCTCCCTCTTGCACTGCAGTAAAAGGTAAATCTTATGCAGAGATTGAAATTAATAAATGTGACCTAGGCAGAAATAATTTCATGTCTTTATTAAGCCTCCCAAGGGGAGTGTATAGAAGATGGTTAATAGTTCATAAATGTGCAAATCATCTAATCTATGCCAAAGAAGAAAGCAACACCAGAGTTAGAGAGAGAAGTATATTTAGCATATTAGTCATATAATAGGATTCTAGTCAGTCAGTTCATACCACTGTTTCTTCTGAAGCAAGTATGGATGGTTTAAAAACTTAAATATATTTACCAAGAAACTATGAAAATAAATAAATAAGTGAAACGCGAAATATGCATTCTGCAGTGGCATGGGGTAGCCTCTGGGAGAAAGAAGAAAGAACAGCAAATAAGTACAGTTTAATTGGCACAGAAATGTTAGAAATAGATCTCTTTAGACTTTCAAACTTAAAGATCCTAGAATAAGGAGATATTAATGCATAATTTGTAGCTATCTACAGTATGATATTGTTAATTTCCAAGAAAGTATGGCTAATTATAAGGCAAATGATTCTATTTAAGGCGGTGTTTTAAAAGGCTTAATTTTTTGGTCAAAATATTTATATCTTATTATTTCTCTGTAAGCTTATTAAAGCAAAATTCAGCAGACTTCTAATGCATTCTCTGTAGGGCAAGCCAGAGTCGAAAAGACCAATGTATATTTTTCATAAAATTTTATTTCAGAATACCTTCTATTTTCAGGAATGTGACCAACTTCTTCACATTTACGCTGTAATCATGGTTCTGAAAAATAAAATAAAAAATCTGGACATCTGAACTATCACTGCTTTCCAGAACATAGCAGGAGGAACAAAGTAATTCCAGAACAGGGTCAGTAGACCATTTTGCAACTTTTCTCACCTTTGGTAAATCCTAAATTCAGCAATTCAGCAAATCGTGAAGTGCATCATGAGGAAAGCAATGTAACAGAATGAATCACTGTCTTTTTTCCCTAACCCTGTAGAGAATTAGAGAAGGAAAACAGTAACAGAGCAAGAGGAAAAGAAAAAAGTATTCTCTATTGCCTACTTCTTGTGGATTTCCAGCACCTATAGAAAATTCCATTACTGGAATCTGTAGCACTAGAGTCCATCTTCTCCCCATAAGTGTACATCTTCACATCTTCCAAAAAAACTTGCAAGTTCTTCTATGGTTGTGGTAGTCTGCTCTTATTTGAATATATAGTCAATGCAAATAGAAGTAAACAAATGAGAATTCTGAGATGAGAAGGATCCTATTGTTCTGAAGAGATCTACAAACTTTTGAACACAGAGTAATAATTTCAGTCTGAATAAAATCGTTGAAATAAAAAATTTAGAAACTAAACAGAGAAAGGAAGATTAAAAAAAAAAAAAAAAAAAACAACTTAGGGTGATGGAAACCTAGTATCAGCTAAGTGTGTGTTCACATAGATTTACTTAAGAACCCTCTCTCTTCTGGCTTTTGAAGCAGATTTGAAGATCCTCTTCAATATTCCAGAGAAGTTTCCACTTCTGTTATTATCCAGTGTCAGAGAGAGAATAGGTATGAGGACCTATATCTATTCAAAGGTAAGATAAAAAAAAGCATGTAAGTTAATGCCTATTTTAACATAGTAGGGTACAATGACTACATGCAGAACACTAGGTAATTACCAAAGTTCAGTTTCTCTCTAGTTTTCTATTTCATGTAAGTTGCTAAAACAGAAGTCAAAATTCTTCTTTCGCTTTTTTTTTATTATTATTATTATTTTATTTTTAGTATTAGTTCATCTCTTCTTGCTGACAGTTGCTGGAATCATCTTGGCACCTACTTGGCTTTTCCTTACCTTGTTCATACTCCTTTTCAGTCTGACCTCTGACCCTCTGGCAGGCCTCGTGTTGCCATCTTTATCATTAAAAGTATTAAAGCATGGCAGACCCCCTCACTCACAAATCTAAACATGAGTTTAAATATTTGAAATGTTTATACAGGTAGTAGAACAAGGAGTGTGCCTGGAATTTAGAATGATATAATGTTATGCTGATTAATAATACTGATCTTAAGTTCTGGGGAGAGCTAAAATACGGCTGTGTGTGGTAAAGAACAAACCACATGCTGGGTACAACCCTAGAATAACAAGAAGTGCATTTCTTCTTGCTCTAATTTGTACTTTTTGTAGAAATGAAAGGAAAATATACAAGCGCTCCAGGTCACTTTGAAATACAGTTACCCTCATTTCATTAATACAAGAAAGAAAGAACCATCTTTTACACAGCCCATGTTAAGCTTGTACTTTGGATGTTAAGCTTGTACACATTGGATGTCCTGACCGAACATTCTCATTGTTTCTGTACCATCACTACAGCAGTGGTGACTAATTAATGATATATCTCGAGTGACATGCTAAGTAAGAGCAGCATAAATCTGACCAAGAGAAACGATGATGCAAAAGTACTATCTACAGAACAAGACATTAAAATTACATTGCTTTGAAAATAATGCCTCCTATTTAATTCCATGGAAATTACAACAGATGCAAAGAGCACGATTTTTCTACATAGTTCACCACCATTAACTGATCTGTGCAGATGAGCTGATCAAGATTCCTCATTTCCTCCTATGACATGCCATCCAGCTATGCATGGCCATCGAGAATGTGGCTTATCTTTCTCAGCACTGCTGCCACTGCTGAACACAACACACATTGCCTCACTGTGCTCACATCCACTGTTCTATTTTCATAAACACTCAGCAAGTATCTCACCTTTGCTTCATAGGAACTTCCATATTAGATGCCATTTTATCAGACTGTCTTTCTGCTGCACCTGTCACATAGCAACAAAATATAATGGAATATTGGTGGGAAGTTTTAACCTCTACTGCCATAACATCAACATCCACCTCTGATGTCACTGGCCAAGATAATAAAAATAGGAGGCAATACTTTTGGAGCAGCTCCCAGATAACTCCTAAGGTGCTACCGTGTATCTAGGTGACACATTATTATACATTCATGTAAAGTTAAATAACTACTTTTCAGTTCCAAAGACAGCTACTCTAGTCAAAATAAGCTTTCAGAAAGAAATAAAGAGAGGTGACAGTTTTGTTAGTCATGGACTGAGAAGGTCACATTTAAGAGCTGCAGAATAATTTTGCTCTATTGAGTGACTGCAGATGAAATAAATTTAGCAACACTCAGAAATAATACATCTTGTCTTTCCTTATTCAGTGATGGGATCTGAAGCTTCCAAAAGTTTACTGCTCAACAGCACTCAGAAGCCAACAAATGCGTAAAATTGAGGAAATATTATCAAACAGAACAGATTATGTTTCCTATATCAAGATAACCATAAATACTTTTCACAGTTTTAACCCCCACTTCTCAGGATAAAAATATATATATATAAATGCTGGAAAACATGTAGAGTGATTACATTTATAGAATATATAAATAAGATAGGACTTTTAAGCCTAGGGAAGCGAACCAAGAGGTTTTACAGCATTCAGAATGAAGTAAAGAATAATGAAATAATTAAAAATTCAGAAATAATTGGTCAAAGCAGTTTATTGTTGTTTATTAA